CTCTCCCCAGCTTCGGCCTTTTGCAACTGGCGATACCTGCATCAACAGTAGCTTCCCAGGATCCACAGCAGAACACCCCCATTTGCAATGCCATAACAACTTGACGAGAAAAACCACACGCAAAGAATAAATGCTCTCTAGTTTCTACTACATTACCACACAACACACACAAACCATCAGTCTGCTTACCCCACTGCAATAGCTTCTGCTTAGTGACCACACTATCCAACATAATCATCCAGACTAGAAAGCTGTTCCTGGGAACATAATTCTTCCCCCAAATGAGCTTTGCCCAATCCACCACCTCATACTTGACTCGCAAGGTATTCCAAACTACAGACACTTTGAAAACAGGCAGAGGTTTATTTTCCCACATAAGCTGAGAATTACGTATCAAAAGTAATGGTTGGATCATAGGGCGCATCTTGAGGATACGCCGCCAGGCCCAGGAACTGCTTGGACAAGCAGAAACAATCCATATGCGGTGATCCTTTACCTTATACTGCTGGAACCAAGCCACCCAGATAGCTCCACTTTTCATTAAGAATAGTGAGAGAAACCTGACTGTACATGCCTTATTCCAGGCACAAAGCTCACGTAAACCCAAACCTCCTTCCATTCGAGGCCTTGCCATCCTCTCCCAACTCACTTTAGCACGTCCCTCTTCTCCCCCATGCTAGAGAAACCTTGAACACACCATTTGAACTTGCTTAATTACTTTCTTGGGCAAAATAAAGATCTGCATCCATTATTGAAGCGTCTCCATCAATATTGACGATATCAGCTGTAGCCTTCCAACATAACTGAGCTTCTTTGCTCTCCAAGAATGGATCTTCTTCGTAATTATGGCAACCAGTTTGTCAGTCTCACTAGAAGGCAACTTCCCTGAAAGAAGAGGCACACCCAAGTATCTAACAGGTAAAACTCCCTCTGCAAACCCAGATACCTGCAAGGCATTCTGCTTGAATTGCACTGATTTCCCTCCAAAATACACCTCGCATTTCCCTGGATTGCACTTTAGACCAGAAATGGTATGGAACTCCTTCAATATCCCCTGAACCTTCTGAATAGCTTGCCCTGAACCCACTGTGAAGATGAGGAGATCGTCAGCAAAACACAAGTGTGTTAAACCAACCTTTTTGCACTGAGGATGGAAAGCCAGGGTTCCTTCTGCTGCAGCTCGATTCAAGAGAAGAGATATCCCCTCCATTGCAATTGTGAACAGGTAAGGCGAGAGGGGATCCCCCTGCCTCACCCCCTCTGTGCCCCAAAGAACCCACACAGGCCACCATTAATACAAATACTAAACTTTGCTGTTTTCACACAAAGCCTGATCCAGTAAACAAATCTCTGGGGGAACCCCATTACTTCCATCATAAGAAACAAATATCCCCAATGAACTGAATCAAATGCTTTCATGAGGTCTACCTTTATAGCACAACGAGAAGACAAATTACTTTTATGATAGCCACTCACAAGCTCTTGTGCCATTAAAATATTATCCACAATCCTCCTCCCTTCAATAAAAGCATACTGATTTCCACTGACTACACTAGCTAAAACCTTCCTCAATCTGCTTGCTAGCAACTTGGCAATGATTTTGTAGAGAATATTCACACAAGAGATTGGTCTAAACTCTTTTAATTTACAAACAGAAGCAACCTTTGGTATCAAAGATACAGCAGTGGAGTTAATACTACTAGGAAGCTTACATGTAGTGAAGAACTCCAGGATCCCAGCAGTGATATCCCCTCCTATAATCCCCCATGTGTGCTTAAAAAAGCCAGCTGAAAACCCATCAGGCCCAGGAGCTCGATGAGAACTCATGCTAAGCACAACTCTTCTCACATCATCAGCTGTGAAGCCCTGACACAAGGAAGCCCTCTGCTCATCACTCAGTCTGTGTGTGACTAGGCCCTCCAAATACTGCTTGCAAGGGTTTACCTCTGGATCAATAAAGCCAAACAAATTTTTATAAAACTTCACCGCTTCATCAGCAATTTTGTCCATCTCCACTACCTCCTCACCCCCTCAAGGACTAGCTTCCTTATAGCCTTCTTAGTAGTTTTGATCTTAACTGACTGATGAAAGAATCTAGTACTCTGGTCGCCCAACTTCAGGTGATTTACCCGAGCCTTCTGCCAGTAAAAACTCTCCTCATCCTTCTTTAGTTTCACAAGTTTTGAATTCAGATCTTCTACTGCAGCAAAAACATCACCAGAGGGGCTGGATAGAGCCAATTCTTGAGAAGCAAGTAATTGCCCTTCTATGTCTCTCACCTGCCCACTAATATCATTAAACACTTCCCTGTTCAACCTCTTCAAACCCTTCTTGACTGCATTAAGCTTAGTTTTGACAACCAGTAACAGGTTCGCCCCTAAGCAGGTGTAGACCATCCTTCTTCTACAATTTTGAAAAAGTCAGGGTGACCGGCCCAAAGCTCAAAATATTTAAAAGGTTTTGGTAGAGTTCGCTGCCCTGGTTTTGTGTCAACACAAACCCCACAATGATCAGAGAAAGTCCCTACCAGGATATCAATACCACAACAAGGAAAACCATCAAACCAAGCTTCATTCACAAGGGCTCGATCGAGCTTCCTGGCAATAGGGTTATCCTTTTGCCTATTCGTCCAAGTAAAGAAAGGTCCACTCGATCTATGATCTACCAGTTCCATATCATCAACCCAATTTTTGAAATCCATCATACAGCTAGTCACCATGGGGACAAAACAGAGTTAAAATCCCCTCCAACAATCCAAGGGGCTAAGGATACTTTGAACCTAGCCAGGTCTCTATAAGTGTCTCTTCTCTCTATCTCATCAATCATCATTCGACGCATACACAGCTGTGATGAAGCAACTAGCACCACTTGACTATCTAGCCACACAGTGCACATAATTCTTCCTGGCCACAAGAATTCTAAATTCAATACCTGGATCCCAGAATAGCCAAATCCTTCCTAGATCACTTTCAAAGTAATTGAGATACTTATTCCAACCTAGACAAAAATCCACTACAGTTTCATCAGATTTAGCCTTCCTAACCCTTGTTTCAAGTATAGCCACCACATCCACCCTGTACCTACTCAGGACTTGTGAAAAATCCCTTCACTTAGAGGGTTTATTAAACCCTCTAACATTCCAGAATAGAATCTTCATCCTGGGGAGGATTGAGAACCCCCACCCTTTCTACCACCTTTCTTAGGAGCAGCCTGCAATTGAGTAAGTTCCCTATCACCTAACCCCTGCAATGCAGCAAACATTTGAGTAGTCTGCAATACACTGGTGGGACTAGGAAGAGGGGACCAACATCTAGGCCTTGCTCCAGTCACCACTTTTTGAAACTCATCCTCCGTGGGGAGCTTTGGTGAACTACACTCTGCAACTGACTGAAAAGAATGTTCCAAATTAATGCCAACACAGTTGGATCCAACCATAAGACTAGTACGCTGTAAAGAACCTGCATACATCACACTCTTCCCTTTATCCACCATGACTGGACTACCATTCTGGTAAGGACTAGGATTAGTCTGTGCTGCAGCAACCCCAACCTCTTTCCTTACCCAGACACGCTCCACTTCTCTATTCACCTGATTCCCCTTATTCTTCAGAGCATGATCCTTCTTACCGCATCCATAGTTGAGGCCAAAGGAGTGGCAATGTCCACAGATAGGAGGTAGATGGCTTTAAGCCACACCCACCTTAATTGAGCGATCATCAGTTGGCCATATTTGGTTATTTTTAACATTAAAACGATCCTAAACATTTTCAGTTTCTTTTTCGAATTTCTATTGTTTTATTCGTGAATCAGTGATGTGCAAATGGCGAATTACAGTCATCTCTTTTCTTTCACTATTTTTTATTTTCAAATAGAAAGTTTAAATGTAAAGAATAATTAGAATTTGGCAAGGGTCAGTCAAACAGGCTGAATTTCAAGTTTTGGCCCGTTTTGATCAAGTCTAATTTATAATCACATGGTTCCCTGATACCCGATAAAAATCTCAATCCAAACCAGTTCGGCAGCTGAGTCCGTGTTTACCACCATTTTCTAGGGATATAGGAACATCGGTTACTATACCAAATCGTGTTGTTCGTTCTTGATTTCTTTAGATTTTATCATGGCCTGACAAAAACAAAAAAGCACAACGACGACACGATGAAATTTTTATAAAGCAAATTAATAGGCCAACGGGCCGAGTAAAAGATAGCAACGATTGTGAGATGCTCATTTCCCGAAGACCGACGGGATATGCGATTTTTTATTCGGTTTTCTGGAATTCGGTTTCTACAAAACTTACTCCACCTCATCATATTACCAAAAATAATATTGTTTCACAAGGTAACAGGTACTTGATTTTGGTTCATAAGGCTGATTTTTGATTCGTTGCATCATCCATGTCTCTTTCCTGCTAAAATTCACTATCTCTATCACGTGTTTCACAAAAAAACTACATAATAATAAGCTATACACCTATTACATTTTCAAATTTCATACCTCACCTTCCTCCGATCAACTCGCCATGTCCACGCTAATTAGTAATAAAAGGAGAAGTCCATTTATGGATGGATGGATTGTATATGGAAAAACACAGGATGGGCTCCAATCTGTTATCGGTAACAGCCTTTCGAATTAGAGCACGTTTAGCTCCTGATATTAGGTAAGAAACACTGTCATTAAGGTTTATCTATGTATATATGTCCGATGGCTGCACTAAACAGCAAATAAATGATTTGCTGCTGCTTCCGCTTCTGGCTGCTGCTTCCAGGAAACTTCCAAATCATGGAGTTTCCATTCCTTGGGGATCACTCACCAGCCATCTTCTCCCACCCTCCAATTCACCATTTTTTTTTAATATATATATTATTCTCTCCCCCCTCGGGCTTTTCGTCCAACAGTTTCACTTCATATCCACCTCGCACGGCTGTTCCGTCCGCACCTTTTGCAAGGGGAGATATGGAGTATCAAATTACGGCTCTCCACATCGAGCTCCCGTGCCGGAGAATGCTCGCCGACGCCGTCGCGCCGTCGGGAGAAGGCCCCAGCAGCCTGACGGTGAGAATCTTGCTCACTTGCGGAACATTCGCTGTTCTTTTCACGGTTCTCTGCCTCTTCGTGTTCTGTTTCCTCAAATTCTGCCCGGCCTCCCCCGAACAGGGCACCGATCGCCGCTCCGAATCGAATAGGAAAGCGGCGGTGGAGCAAGTTCTGGCGACGTTTCCGGAGTTCACCTACGGCGCGGACGAATCGCCGGCGCCGACGTCTTGCTCGTTCTCGGCGGTGTGCTCGATCTGCCTGGAGGAGTACGAGGTCGGGGATTGCTTGAGGGTGCTGCCCAATTGCGACCACGTGTTTCACAGGGGATGCATCGATCTCTGGCTCTCCACCCGCTCTTCCAGCTGCCCGATTTGCAGGGATCAGGCGGTGGCTCGGCATGACGGGGATTCCGCCGCACCCGGAGGAAATTGCAGAAACGGAGGAGGGCAGAGTCGTCCGGCTCCATTTTTGAACATGAATTTCGGCGGTGACCTTCTGTGAACAGCGCGTGTAGAGCAAAATCTTTCTTTAATTTCTAGGGTAAACAGATTCACTTCTCCTATGATTATGAGTCAATCTTTACTGAAAGAGTGTACAGTGCGGATTAAGATTCAAGGCTTGTGAACCTTTTTACTTTACTTCAGATTTCATTTTTTGCTCCTCGAGTTGAGTGAGCAATGCATCAAACAATAAATCAAACAAATTTGCAACCTGCTACACTACTTTTATTTTTTTTGGTGAATTGTAAATTTGGTCACCCATATTATTCATTTATAACACTTTAGCCACCCGAATCAAAAACCATTCAACTTAGCCATCAATACTACACGTTTATGTCATGTTTGGTCACTGGCCGTCTAAGTCCGTTAAGTGAGTCCTACGTGGCGGTCAAAAATGATCTTTGACTGTTAAAGTGGTCACGTGACAACCACATAGGCCCCACATCATTGACCCATCAGAATTTTTTTTTTATCAAAATACAATTAAAATTAAAATCTAAAAGAAATCTCCCCTCCTCACTTCTCCGCAAGCTCTTCGTCCTCTCCTCTTCTCCTCCCGCAGCCGCCGACCAGAGAATGGTGACTTCTCCTCCCACCAGCTTCGCTGCCGTTCACATCGCAAGACCACCATTCATCAGCCATCCAGAGTTTCGACCATTGATTTGCCCCCAGCCAACCATCGATTCACCGCCGCTGAAACAATGGTTGTGGCTGGGTCGCACAAATTGACGCTGAACGGGCTGGGAAGCATGTCGGATTCAAGCAACGGGAGCCCCAACGGAGCTTCGTTGCCTACACCTACCGCTGATTCGTCCCCGTTTAGTGCCACAAACGACACATGGTATCTGATTTACGCTGCTAGCGGCAGAAAAAGGCAGAGAAAGGGTCATCGCTGAAACAATGGAGACATCGCTCTAGCGCTTCTGTACCCAGAAGGACTATCCATATTCATAATCAAATCCCCCTCCCCCGCCGCACCTTACCGCTAATTCAGACTGGAATCGCCGAGTTGGAGTTGTTTTTGGAGATGGGCAAGAATGAAAGAGAGCGGCGCCGATGAGGAATCGAGAGAGCGAAAGAGGAATCTTCCCGACCAAGGGGTCGTACTGGGACAGATGAATGAACGCCGACGCTTCAATTCATCTCCGAAAGTGCACGGCAAGCGAAGTCCAATCAGGTAAGAGGGGGCGAAGCTCGGTGGCCGAGCTCTGGCTAACTATGGCGAGGTAGATCTAGATTTTCTGTGGCAGATGCCTGTGAGACGAAGAGCGAGAGAGGGACGAGACCGACGGTGGAGAGATAAGAGGGATTTTGGTTCTTTCTTTTTTGGTTTTCAATTATTTTTACATCTTTTATTGTGAGATGGAATACAAAATAATTATTTTTAAAAGTTTTAATTGACACATCAGTTTTTTAACGGTCAGACATTATAGTTGACTGCCACGTAGGACAGACTTAACGGAACTAGACGGCGAGTGACCAAATATGACATAAACATGTAATATTGGTGGCTAAGTTGAATGGTTATTGTTTTGGGTGGCTAAAGTGTTATAAATGAGCAATATAGGTGACCAAATTTGCAATTCACCCTTTTTACTGAATCACTATTCGTCGCCCTAAAATTCAAATTTTATCGCCCTAAAACGCACTAAATTGACATATTTACCCCTTAATAAAATTTATATTATCCTTAAACCAAAGGATTGCAGAGAAGATAATTTGCTTTATTCTCCTTTCTTGTTGCTTTCGTCTCTCTCCCACCTCGGAGTAGCCGGAGTTCGAAGCTAATTCAAACGAAAAAAGGGCAAGGGAACAAGGAGTCGATTACTCGATTTAAGTATAATTGAACTCCTACTTGCAAAACGCGACCCAGCCGCCCGCTCACAGCTCCAGCGGCGGTTGTCGGAGAATTGACGCCGGAATTTTGGTGCCATTTTTGTCCTAGTCATCGTCGTCCATCGTTCAGGAATCAGGTAAGAGGAAAGAGGAGAGTCTAACCGGCTTTCGTTCTGCCGTTGCTTTCAACCCCGTCTCCCCGTCCACCGTCGCCTTGCACGTAGTCATCTTCTTCCTCGTCTCCAATAATAGCTTGTCCAAATAAATGCCACAGTTTTGTGTCCCCAATGAAAATTAAAGCAACCATATTAATAAATCCCAATGTAGCTTGCTTCCACGTCCCCAGCTGAAATGGAGATGATCTGTAGTAGCCCGGCCACCGCTGTAGTTTTTTCCCTGTAAATAAATGCACTAAGGACATTAAAGTAAAATTAAGTTAATTAGGGCGACGAATAAGGATTTTTAGGGCGACGAATAGCAATCTTTTTTTATCAGAGAAAAGGGTGCATAGCACCACTATCTCAAATTAACATAAAATACAATGGTGCGTTGCCCCTCCAAGTCTATCATACATGTTCAAATGAGTAACATCTGGATCTGAAAGAGAAATAACAGAGCAACTCTTTCTAGCTAGGCAATCCGCTAAGCAATTGCCTTCTCTGTAGATGTGAATTACCCAAACCTGCCAATCACGATCCACGAGGGCTCGCAAACGCAGGATGAGGGAAGCGTGTTGGTGGTTCAGGTCTTCCTCGCTCTGAAACATGGTTACTGCAGCGGTGGAGTCAAGCCAAACTTCCACCTTTCGATGACCGAGGTGTCAAGCCATCTCGAAACCCTCAATGATACCTCTCACTTGGCCTTTGGTAAGGGTACAACTCCCTAAGTTCATAGCATAGGCACCCAACAATCGATCATGCAAATCTCGCACAACTCCTCTGGCTGCTGCCTACCGGGAAGACGAGAATAATGAACCGTCGAAGTTACTGTGACCCACTCTTCTTATAGTGTCGGTCTCCACCCCACGTCCAGGCTTCGTCGACGGGTCATCGTGGTCCCCAGTATGTTGATGGATGACTCCTTAGTTGAGATTCTCTCCTAAGCAAAGGTTCTTTTGCTAATCTCATTAAGTGCCGCTGCTAGACCTAAAAAGATGTCCTCATTCCGAGCTCGTAAAAAAATCAACAAGCAATCCCAAGACGGACCTAAAAATCTGGCAACGAAAGATGGGAAAAGAGCCAATCGAAGAAAGGTACCGTGAAGAAGTCATGTGTGATCTGACCAGGATGGAGAGTCCGCCAAACAACCCTCGCCGTTGGGCATTTTCGTAGGACATGGTCTTCAATTTTTTCAATTCCCTGGGAAATGTGGCACATGTCGGAAGCGGCCATGTGGTGTCATCGTCGTTCCACCTAGGTCAGGAGTCGGTCGTGCGCCAATAGCTAGAAGAAGTGGCGGATTCTATTGGGGTGGGGCCACTTCCAAAGGTGAAATGTGAGGATATTATATTTAACAATAAGATTTATGTTGCGGTTACTTAAACCGTGTTAGTATTGGGCCTTGTTGGGTCTCGTCTGATTCGTTGGATTAGGGTTTTAACCCTAAGTTTATCTATATAAGCTTAGCTATCAACTTTTGTGATAGCAAGCCGTCAAGATGTAATCCTAATAAGAGATTAGCCGTGAGCACTTATGAGCTCACCGTGGATTAGTCTCGATCAATCAATTGATCGAGGATACCACATAAAATCTTGTGTTCTTTCGTTCTTCCGCATCATCAAATTCTACATGGTATCAGAGCAAACCTCGATCCATTAGGGTTTTGCTTTCGCTCTTCCGCATTCTCGTTCAGCAATCAACAAACGTCCACCATCAATTGTCAAGGGCGTTGAGCTTCCATACGTCTGGATCTGTTGCCTCTTCGCAGCAGCATCGACCGACGTCTCCTTTCACCTTTGATCTGTCCGGCAACGGGCGAGAGTCAGTAGCAGCCTTGCTGCCCAGAGATCACAGTTCAGCTGTCGTCCAAGTTTCGTCGCCACTCAGACCTCTCTTCCTAAGCGCGTCTCTTAGCTTCTAGTCCATGTGCTACCATCGCCATCGCTCCGTCTCCTAGCTTCCGCCAACGTCGCCCTCTCTATTGGGCAGCCATTGCTCTATCTCCTGTTGTCGTGTCGCCAGGTCGCCATTGCCGAGCAAATCAGCCTCGGAACGAGCAGATGCAAAGGGAAAATGGAGGCAGGAGAATGGGTCTCCAAACCCTACTTTTCACTCTTTGGGCCGCCAGATGGCTGGGCCTGACTTGTAGTCAATAAAACAATGGGCTGAAGTGTGGCCTTCTTGTCGAGCATAGGGGGAGAGGTGAAGTTGGTTCTCCAGCCATGCTGGTCTTTTGTTGGCCAATCCTGTCTTTGTTCCATGTCATGGTCTTCATCAAGCACTCACAGTCACAATTGGTCGTGGGGCATTTCAAGTGTGGAGTTAGTTTCACTTGGGCAGTTATCCATCAATTGGTTCCATTAATGCATGCGTAGTGCCAGAAGCTTGTCCAACCTATTTATTGTGAGTAGCTTCCTCATCGTCAACTCTCAGTTTAGGGATACTTCCGAAAGTTTACAGCACATGAGATGTTGATGTTATGAGACTCATACTCTGTCCGTAGTGGGATTCAAGTAGTCATTGTGGCCAGTCAAGGTCACTTAGAGAGAAAAATCTTCACCAACATCACAGTCATGGCATTGAAGGCAATCATGATCGGCAGTGGTCATCTCTTCAAGTAGATAGTGTTGGGGAGAAAGAACAGCTACTGTCAACAAAATTTTCAAGTCATCAGGTCGAGGTATTCACGATCCATAAAATGGTCGTTCCCCTGGCGTTCCAAAGGTAGTACGATCAGAGAAATCATCGTCCCTTCATCGTCCAGTTGGCATTCACGATCCAAGAAATGGTCGTCCCCTCTTCCGGTTCATTATTGGGCACATGTCAACCATTCATCACTTTTCAAGCCGGGCATTCACGATGTTCATGCTCCAGCTTGAGGGGGAGAATATGAGGTCAACATATGTCGGTCTACTAACTCAGTCATCAGGTCGACCGCGATGTACCAAGTGTGTTCAAGTTCAAGAGACGCAGTCAACCATCTCCATCATTAGGTTGTTCAGAGAGA